GGATCTGTGCAGCCGTGTTCAACTTCTTGACTAACCCGAGTTGAGTCCTGGTGAGGGATGACAAGTAGCAACAATTGATCCTGCATGAGCAAGAGCCACAAGTATTACAACCTGATGTCATTTCGGGAGCATTAACCATTGGTAGAAGAAGTTAACTTGGAATGAGGACAGACTTTTATCTTACCAGTAGGCTATCGTTCATGAACTTATCAAAAGCTGGAGGCGTCAGTTTAAGTAAGGAAGCTACTGTATATCGTATAGATCTACCTATGTTGTTATCGGCGGGAACTCGTCCTTCCTGAGAATGAAAATAGAAATGTTATGTAAGACGGCAGTTGAGAATAAAATACTAATCTTTATATTATATGTAACTTGTGAAACGATATTCATTAAATTTATTATCATTAATCCTTATACTATGCATAAGTTGTACATTTAATTCATGTTTTCTTATTTATTCAGTTTTAATTCTTGTGTTTGTGTCGTAGATTTAATTCATATTTTCTAACCAAATCTATTGTCTACGTATAGTTTAGGTTAACACTGAAATTTTAAAAGACAATGATTTTTGGAATGTTGATATTCGATCTTCTTATAGTTGGAGCCTAAGGCGAATTTTCAAACTTAAATCTGTGGCTTACCCCATTCTAACTGCTGGAGCAGTGAAAGTGATAGATATATGGGATGCTTTTCGAGATAGAAGACCTCAAGTTTCATGACAGAAAATTATCTGGTTCCCTCTTCATATTCCTAAATACAGTTTAATTACATGGATGACATTACTTGATAGACTTCCAACTAAAGTTAGACTTCACCATATGGGGCTTATCAATGACTGTCAGTGTCCATTCTGTGATGATCCTCGTGCAACAAGGGAACATTTGTTCATCCAATACCCTATGGTTGATCAGTTATGGAATGATGTTTTTTCCTACTCTGGACTGCAATTTAATATTCGCTCTTGGGATGCTCTTATTATGTGGGCAAGATCTACTTGGAAAGGAAAATCTCTACTAACTTCGGTCATGAAACTCACACTTACTGCTCTTATCTATATTCTTTGGGAAACGACTGTTTCAAGGCCGATCCAGGAATTCTCAAGATCTTTTTCATGCCATTAAGGATATAGTTAGATTGCAATTGAGGGATAGAAATATTAATAGGAATGATAGTGTTAATATTACTCTATGTGAGCATTGGAGTATATTATGATCTGATTCTTTTTATATGTAGGTTGATCTTTGTCTCAGAACACTGATTTTTTTGTAACAGGATCTGTTCTTGGGTAATAAAAAATAAATTATCCAAAAACACTGAAATTTTAAATTTTGAAAAATACATTAGTTGTAATTTATGAAATTAGAATATATAAATTAAATCTACTAATTACACTTAATATAAAGCAGGCATGAGGTAGAAGAAATTAAAAGCTTACTTTGGTTTTACCTCTCAAAGCACAACGGCCTCCCCAAATTAAAGTATTTCGATCTTTTAGATCATATGTCCCTTCTTCATCAGTAGAATAGCTAAAGCTTGTGTCTGTAGCAGAATGGTAATCGGTTTCCTCATTACTGGTGTAACTTTCTCCGTCCACGTAAAATACATGAACTCCACATTTCTTCACCTTGATATTTTCTTTTGTATTCTTATACTCGTGGCCATGTTTGATGTAGAATTTAAATGATGCTTTCTCATCATTCTTGTTTTCTCGACACATATCCTTACCACATAGAATCCACACATGATCATCACCCATATAATGCTTTTCCAACTCAATTGGCCAGAAATATAACTCACTTTTGAACTTTTAAAAACCACCACTATCATTGGCGACTGCCAGTTGGTATTCACAAATAAATGTAAGATGGGAAATGCAATGGCAGCCAGTGAGAGCGGCCACAAGGCAGATAGCAAATACCAAGAATCTGCTCTCACTTGGGGCTATATTAAAACTTAACTTAGAATTCATACTTTGATATTCAAATCTATCTATTTCCTGAAATTTTGTTTCTCGGGAAACAACAAATCAATCTTTGAAAGGAATAAGGCTAGAACCCCTGACTATATATTGATGCCCATTTCTTTGATAGGGATTGAATATTGAGCGTGGCATTTACCTCAAGGTTATCAATTAAATATTGATCCAAACTGAAGCAGTTAGAGAAAAACATAAAGAAATCTACTTCACCATCAAAAGAATGGAGATTTTGATCCGCTAAGGATACTTTTTCTAATGATGTGAAGCCATGTACATTCAAGTACTTCAAATTTGATGGAAGCTCTGAGAATAATTTGAGGCTCTTGCAATCAATCATTGTCAACTCTCGAATATTACTTAAAGGATCTGAAGACGAAGACACTCGTTCAATTTGGGTTCCAGATAAGTCTAACAAATATATGCTTCTTGGGATTTTTGGAAATTTGACGATTGAACAATTTCTCAAACTCAATCTTTTAAATGGTATATCACTTTGTAACTGACAAGCAATTTATAATGCAGAGCAACTCAGATTCATCCTGCTTGGTTTTAACTAAAGAACTTCATTTTACTATTATAGGCAATTAACTTTCAAGATGTAAATTTTATTATTAACAATTAACAATGGTAGCATACTCTTTTTTCCATTCAATATGTCTTAGTTGTGTACAGGACCTATGACTGCATATCTTCCTTGACTGCTTCTTTGAGATCTTCCACTTCATCATCAGGACCAACGACATGGATGCCACTAGTGCCAGCAACAACATGCTCAAGGCCCTGAATAATGATATAACAGGAGATTAACAAGTAATTTATTTGTGCAGTTATCAGATGTAATAGAGAAGCAAATGTATTTCTAAGTTCCAATCACCTGTGAAGCGATCTTGATACCATGTGCCGCTTTGATCTCCTTGTGCTGGCATATACTCCCTACAATTATCCAACCAAAAAGTCATCATGCCTGCACCTTCCACAATTATCCAAAAAACAACTGGGCCTCATTGAGGAAAATATCGACAAAATTCTGGACTCGTTTATATTAGAAGAAAGCGATTGCCTGTCATCAGCGTATTAATGAGAAAATTTAGAGTTAGCAATGGAAGTTGTTTCCTAGCCTTATTGTAATATTAATTCAAATCAAGTTGAAAATTTATTATAACAATGGCAGGACAAGAAGTACTAAAAATGAAATGAAAGTAAAAAACCAGCTTACCTATGAATTTGGATGACATTATCGAGAAGTTGCTTCTTCAAAGAAACTAAATTATTTCAGTCTTTTAGATCAACTGTATCTGTCCCCTTCTTCACCACTAGTATTGCTAAAGCTCGTTTCTGTAGCAGAGTGGTCATGAGCTTTCTCAGTATTAGCATCTTCTTGAGAATCAAAATTGTGGTTGGATTTATCACATCTCATCACATTAGTAATGGTGCAACTCTCTGCATCCACGTAAAATACATGAACTCCACATTTCTTCAGCACCCAACAGCGATTGAAATATTTGCTGTAGAATTCAAACGATGCCATCTCATAATTCTTGTCTTCTCTAACCATATCCTTACCACATAGAATCAACACATGATCACCCTACCACTTTTCACTCACCTGACCAGAAAGAGAACTCACTTTCAAACTTTTCTGAGCCACCACTACCACTGGCGGCTTCCAGTTGGTATTCGCAGAAAAAAATCAAGATATGTGGTATCATAGAACTCAACGGGATCGACCACAAGACAAATAGCAAAAACAAAGAATCTGCTCCAACTACTCCCACCTAAGGCTAATTTCAAACTTAACGAACAATTCATGCTCTGATACTCAATCGTATTTGCTGAAATTTTGTTTTCCGGGAAACAACAAATCAATTTTGGCACAGGATCGGACGAGAATTCCTGATCATATCTTCATGCCCATTTCTCTGCTACGGATGAATATTGAGCATGGCATTTGCTTCAATGTTGTCAATTGAATCTTGATTCAGGCTGAAGCAATTAGAGAATATCATATTATAGTCTCCTTCACCATCAAAAGAAGGAAGATTTTGATCGGTGAAGGATACTATTTCTAATGATGTGCAGCCATGTGCATTCAACATCTTTAAATTTGGTGGAAGCTTTGGGAGTAATTTGAGGCTTCTGCAACTAATCATTGACAAATGTTGAAGATTACTTGAAAGATCTGAAGAGAAGGACACTTGTTCAATTTGAGTTCCATATAAGCTTAAGAGACATAGGCTTCTTGGGGTTTTTGGGAATTTGACGATTGGGCAATTTGTCAAATACAATGTTTTAAGTCTGTCCAAATGCTCAATTGAATTAGACACTTCTTCTATTCTAGTGTCTGATAAATCTAACTTAGTAATTTAAGTCTACCACCGAAATTCGGTCCTTGTTGGACTAATCACGTCTATCACCGTTAGCACTATGACAACTTTGAATTTAAGAAGAGCCCAACTCGATTTATGTCTCTTTGAGAATCGAACTCAGTCTTGATTTCCTTTAACGGACCGCCAACCGATCCGACTCCCACACCGCAAGTCAAAACACCTTTCAAATCAATGTTTTTTTGAGTTGAAGATGTCGTAACTTTTAAAGGGATGGTTGATCGCCACTCCTAATATCCAGAGAATTGAACAATACTAGCCGAAGGTATGAAGTGCAAAACTCAAAATCATAATGAGTCGAACAAGATTTGTGTTGAAAGAGATGAAGAAAGTAAATTTGTTGACAAGTTGCATGCAGTAGTACAACTGCCACAAAATCCCAGTTCCAGCACACAATATAAAGCAATCATTCACTCGAACAAATTAAAAGCTTACTTGATGTTCCTAAGATCTGCCATTCCCTCTTCACTCTCTGTTTTTCCATCTACAATCCCTTCATAGTGCAACTCAAAATTCCACATTATGATCTTAATATCGGGAAAATGGTATAGCACTTCATTTTCTTTCATAGCCAATCTATTTACAAGTTGAAAATTCACTACTAACTATGGCAGAAACAGCAGTATGGTAATAAGAAAAACGAAATGAAACCCACTCAGCTATCCATATGGATGACATTATTCAGTAGTTGTATATTCTCAAAAGCAGACCCAAAGATCTAAAGAAATAAAACTATTTCAATCTCTTAGGCTCTGCATCTCCTTCATCACCATCATCGATAAATCTTCTTTTGTCCCCGTGTCTCGTTTCTGTAGAATCACCAGCATGGACTTCCTCAACATTTGCATCTTCTTGGGACTCCAAATTCCTGTTGGATTCATCATTGCTCATCTCATCAGAGTCGAAACTTTCAGTGGATTCAACAACGTCTTCCTCAGTATTAGCATCTTCACTATAGGTATCACTCTCTGCGTCCACGTAAAATACATGAACACCACATTTCTTCACTTTTATATAATTGGTTTCAGTTTCTTCATCCGCACTGAACTTGTAGCTTATGATGTAGAATTCAAATGATGCCTCTTCAAAATCCTTGTTTTCCATAAACATTTCGATACTAGATAGAATCAACACGTGATCACCCGTGCACTTCCGATCCGGCTGAGATTCTCTCAAGTAATATAACCCAGTTTCGAAATTTTCATAACCACAACCACCAGCTGCAGTCAGTTCGTATTCACAAAAGTATTTAAGAGTAAAGAAGTCATGGCAGGGAGTGAGATCGGCCACCAAGCAGACAGCAAAGCCCAAAAATCTGTTCCTACTACTATTAGGGGCTATCTCCAAATTTATCGAAGAATTCAAGCTCTGATATTCGAACTTATTTGACGATATTTTGTTTCCAGGGAAACAACAAATCAAGCTCGGTACGCATTCTGGCGGGAAGTCCAAATCATAACTGAATGCCCATTTCTCTGCTAGGGATCCAATATTAAGCATGGCATTTGACTCAATGTTATCAACTGAATCCTGATTCAAACTGAAACAATTAGAGAATAACATGAAAAACACACCATAACCACCACCATCATCGTCGTCATCATCATCACTTGAAGAATGGTATTGATATAAATTTTGATCCATGAAGGATACATTTTCTAATAATGAGCAGCCATGTGCATCCAATAACCATAGATATGGTGGAAGCTCGGAGAGTAATTTAAGAATCTCACAATGATCCACTGCCAAAGATCCAAGGCTTTTACATCTTAATATTGGCGAGGACACATCAACTGCTATAGAACCAGAGAGGGAGACATTGCATTGTAGCTTTTGAATACTCGAGCTGCTCATATGCAAGTACCGAAGATTACGTAAAGAATAGAAAGACAAGGTCACCTCTGTAATTTGAGTCCCAGATAAGTCTAATTCTGTTAAGCTTCTTGGGATTTCTGGGAATTCGGTGACTGGACAATGACTAAGATCCAGCCAATGGAGGAATTTCAACTTTGAGATATTGCTTGATACATATTTGACCCTTGAGTTCTTCAAAAACAATGTTGCAAGTTCCACAAGATGCTCAATTGAATCAGGCACTTCTTCAATTCCAGTTTTTTCTAATTTTAAATAAACAAAATTATTTGGGAGCTCTGGAAACTTGCTAAGACTATAACATTCCTCAAGCTTAAACCACTGCCAATTAAGAGATGACAAATGATTTAGGCAAGGAAGTTCAATCAAACTTTCGCACCCTTGAAGGTCAAGCTTTTTAAGGTTGATGGCTCTTACTAGACTAGGGATCTTCCTCAATTTCTTGCAATATAGAAGGTCAAGTTCCCTTAAATTAACAAGATCCTGCGTAATAAAAATATAAAATAACTATATTACTTCATAATATCATCTATTATAAGGTTCATACATCAATTATAATCTTTTTTTAAAGAAAAATACTCGTGGATGAAGAAAGTACGAAAGCATATACCAGATGATCATCTTCATTCCAAAGTTGCTCCATGTTGCCACGTTGTAATTTCAACACCACAAGATACTTTGGATTAAATCTTAACGGTAAAGACTTGAAAGGGCAAAACTCCCAACAAAGATACCTTAGCTCGTCTGGAAGAGATACATTATCAACTCCATCTACAAGTAGTTTCTCATTCCAACAGTCTCTCATATGTTGAGGAACACCAAAGATAATATATTTAAGATTATGCATCTTCTCAAAAATGGTAGAATATAACTGTAGGTTATCAATTTGAGTCACGTCTAACTTTATTCCTTCAATGAGATCAGTCCCCTAACACAGAAACAATTTATCAAATATTACCAATTAGAAATTTATGGGCACTTTATTAAATAATTCTTAAACAGAAGAAAAAAAAATTATAACAGAGTAAAAAATATAAATACAATTAACACTTACTTTATTATATTTGAGTACTTGATACACATCTTTAGAAATCCATAACCTACTACGTTGTCCAGGATCTTTAGATTCTCGACGAACAATGTCCTTTCCCATCTCTTCCAGCATATCATGCATTGTAATATAATAAGAATGCAAGGTGTTAAGTAGGCATTTATCTACCAAGTTGTTTATTCCACTCACTGCAACCTTATAACAACAATTAAGAATTTCTTCTACATCTTTCTTGGGTTCCCCTTTAAAGAAGATTGCAATATCAAGGAATATATTCTTTTCTAGCTCATCTAGCCCATCAAAGCTACTCTTCAAAATCTGTGAAAATTTTGGTTCAGCATATCCCTTTAGTTTAGTCACCTCGTCTTCCCACTCTCTTTGAGACTTTGTGTACAGTTTAGAACCCAAAACTTTAAGAGCAAGTGGATTGCCTTGGGCGTATTCCACAAACTTGTTCGATAGATCTCGAAAATCAGCAGCGGGATTTGACTGCTTAAATGCAATTGTAGAAAAAAGTTGCAGAGAGTCGTTCTTATTTAATTTGTCGACCTCGTGTATTTTGTCAGCTCCTCCATTCTTAAGTACTTGTCTGTCCCTAGATGTTAGAATGATTTTACTTCCATCACCAAAATGTCTAACACCCATGAAATCTATGTGGTCTGGGTCACTAACATCATCAAGGACAACAAATACCTTTCTATTGTTCAGCCTCTCTTGGTAAGGGGTTCCTATGGAAAGGGTGTCTATACGAACATCTTTTTGTTCTAATAATTTGGAAAAAAGTTCATTTCGTAAATATTCCCTGCCTTGATTTTCTATTTTCTCTCTAACATTTTGAAGAAAGCAACAGCCTTCAAACTTGGTAGAGACTTCCTTATATATAACATCAGCAAGAGTGGTTTTGCCTATGCCACCTGCTCCCCATAGTCCTATTACCCGACAGTCTCTTTGCTCAATCAGATTCAAAATCATATTTTTCTGATCATCTATTCCAACTAATTCTTCACTTCTAGACTTTCCATTCGTTAACTTTTTTATAACATCACCAATTATAACCTTGATGTACTCAGCTTCAGATCTAAAAGAAAATAATAGAAAAATGAAAGTTGAAACAAAGTTTAAGTTAAATATAAGAAGATGAGAAAAATATAGTTACCGGTCGGATTCGTCTCCTTTTATATGCCAGCCTATTATTTTGCCGACTTCAGTGAAGGCAGCTTTCCATTGCTGCATTTGTTCTAGCCCTTCTGATTCATGGAGATCAAAGGATGTTTTGAAGTTCCCACCAAGATGCCGCACATCGGAGGGATCAACCTTATAAAAGATAGGAACAACAATATGTTCTTGAGTGCGATTGCGGTCCATGATGTCGGAGAGCTCCGCCAGGCATGAATTTGAAGAAGCATAGTCTTTAGACAAAACGATTATCGAGAGATTTGAGGTTGCGATTGCTTGAGAAAGCGCTGGTGAAATACGATCCCCTCGTTCCAGTGTTTCTTCATCGTAGAAGACATCAAGTCCCTTGCCTTTCAAAGCTTCGAGAAGATGACTGGTGAAGTTGAGGCGGGTGTCTCGACCTCTGAAGCTCAGGAAAACTTGATACTTCAGTTGACGAGAAGAGGAAGAAGAAGCCATGAAAGAGTATTGGTTGAGGCAAAAGAGAACAGATACATACAAAAGCCTCTTCTGTTCTCAAACCTTTGGAGAAGATACGTTTAAAATATTCATCATTGTTGAGAGTTTCTTTCTTAGACTGAATCAAAGTCAACGCATAAGTTCATTTTAACTCTTTTTTTTTTTCTCAATTTTTTTTTTAAATAAACCTAAAATTTTACCTGATCTACAAAGCTATTCTAATCAAACTCAAAAAACAAATCCAACTAGGCAATATCAAATCCGTTCATGGTCGTAATCATTCTAAATTAATATTTATATAACTTACAAAATCATTCTAAATTAGTATTTACATAACTTACAACATTCATCGATTGAGCTTCAACGTCATTGGATGAAAGTATTTAAACAAGTTCAAGGTTGTTTACTATTAACAAGTATCGATACAAAAAATAATATGAAAGTATCAAACAACCAGCTTACCAATGGATTTGGATGACATTAACGATAAGTTGCATCTTCCAAGAAATGAAAGTGTTTCAATCGTTTAGACCCTTCTTCACCACCAATATAGCTAGAACTGGTTTCTGTTCTATCTTCTTCAGAATCAAAATTGTGGTTGGATTTATCACATCTCATAACATTAGTAAAGGTGCAACTCTCTGCTTCCACGTAAAATACATGAACTCCACATTTCTTCACCTTGACATTTTCTTCTATATCCTTATTGAATGGCACCATGTAGAATTCAAACGATGCCCCCTCATAATTCTTGTCTTCTCTAGCCATATCCTTACAACCCATGCACTCCTGCTTCTTCCACCGACTTCCAAAAATATAACTCACTTTTGAATTTTTCAAATCCCCCGTCACCATCACTACCACTAGCAGCTGCTAATTGGTATTCACAGATAAATTCAAGATTTCCGACGCCATGACAGTCAGTGAGATCGACCACAAGGCAGATAGCAAAAACCAAGAATCTTTTCACACTACTCTCACTTGGAACCATCTCCAAATTTAACCAAGAATCCATGCTCTGATGCTCAAACTTTTTTGCTGAAATTTGTCTTCTCGGGAAACAACAAATCAATTTTGGTAAGGGAACGGACGAGAACTCTTGATCATATCTTGATGTCCATTTCTCTGCTAGAGATTGAATATTAAGCATGGCATTTGCCTCAATGTTATCAATTGAATCTTGATTTAAGCTGAAGCAATTAGAGAATATCATAAAGAACTCTCTTTCCCCATCAAAAGAATGGGGATTTTGATCGGCGAAGGATAGTTTTTCTAATGATGTGCAATTCAACTCCTTCAGATATGGTGGAAGCTCTGAGAGTAATTTGAGGCTCATGCAATTAATCATTAACAAATCTCGAAGATTACTTAAAGAGTATGAAGACAAGGACATTTTTTCAATTTGAGTTCCAGATAAGCCTAATGAATATACGCTTCTTGGGATTTTTGGGAATTTGATAATCGGACAATTTCTCAAATCTAATTCTTCAACTCTGACCAGATGCTCAATTGAATCAGGCACTTCTTCTATTTTAGTGTCTGGTAAATATAAGCAAGATAATATATTTGGGAACTCAGTAAACTTTTTGAGATTACAACATCCGTCAAATTCTAACTTCTTAAGAGATGTCAAATGATTGAGACAAGGAAGTTCAACCAAACTTTCATAGTATGTACATGCAAGGCTTTTGAGGTTGATGGCTCCTAATAGATTAGGGATTTTCCTTAAATTGTTGCTATAAAAAACGTCAATTTCCTGTGCAAACAACATATAGAATAACTTCAAAAGTGTTTATATATATATATATAAAGAATGAATAAGATAAAAAATAAATATTTTATTTTTAAAATAATTACTAAAAACGATAGTGTTTGATACAATATTCATTGCATAGATTTATATCGTACTATTGAACCATATGAACCACATCTTATTAAACCATACGAAAGGGCAAAAAACTATAAGCAACGCTTACTTTATTATATTTGAACACTTGATACACGTCTTTAGAATTCTATAACCTGCTACGTTTTTCAGGATATTTTGATTCTTGAACAATATCTTTACTCATCTCTTCAAGCATATCATACATAGATATCCCCCCATAAGAATCAATATCAAGTAGCACTAGTCAAACAAGTTAGCTTATTCCACTCATTGCACCCTTATACAAGTAACTTAGAATTTCTTCTGCACCTTCCTTAGAATCCCCTTTAAAAAAGCATGCAATATCAAGGAATATATTCTTCTCTAGCTCATCTAGTCCATCAAAGCTACTCTTCAAGATGTGTGAAATTTTTGCTTAGAATCCTCGTCTAACTTTTTTACCTCATGTATATTATTGCCAGCTCCTCCATTCTTAAGAACTTGTCTATCTCCAGATATTAGAATGATTTTACTTCCATCACCAAAATGTCTAACACCCATAAAATCTATCTGGTCCTAGTCAATAACATCATCAAAGAATTACTCGTTTATTGTTCAGTCTCTCGTTGTAAGGGTATCCTATTGAAGGGGTGTCTACACGAATTTTTCTTTCGTTTAATGATTTGGAAATAAGTTCATCTCGTAATTGAAGGGGTGTCTACACGAATTTTTCTTTCGTTTAATGATTTAGAAATAAGTTCATCTCGTAAAGATTCACTCCCTTGTTTCTCTATTTTCTCCCTAATATTTTGGAGAAAGTAACGATCTTCATACTCTTTAGAGGCTTCCTTATAAACAGCATTAGCAAGGGTAGTTTTGCCTATCCTATTATCCGATTGTATTTTTGCTCAATCAGACTCAAAACTAACTTTTTCTGATCATCTATTCCAAACAATTCTTCAGAAACACTTCTAGATTGGCTACTCAACCTTTTTATAACATAACCAATGACATCTTTAATGTAATCAGGCTCAGATCTAGCAAATAAAGAGAAAATGGCAATCAAAAGAAAGATAAGTCAAATATAAGAAGATGAAAAAAGAAAAGAAAGTTACCTGTCGGATTTGCCTCCTCCTATATGCCACCCTTTTAATTTACCGACTTCAGCAAAGGCAGATTTCCATCGTTGTACTTGGTGTAGCCTTTTTGATTCATGGTCATCAAAAGATTTTTTTGAAACTCCCTCCAAGATTCCGCGCATGAGAATGATCAACATGGTAGAAGATGGGAAGAACAATATGTCCTTGAGTGTCCTTGCGGTGCATGATGTCGGAGAGTTCAGCCAAGCATGATTTGGAAGAAGCATAGTCTGAAGATAAAACGATGATGGAGAGATTCGAGGCTGCAATTCCTTGAGAAAGTGCGGGTGAAAGTAGTTCCCCTTTTTCCAGTGTATCTTCATCGAAGAAGACATCCATTCCCGTGGCTTTCAATTCTTTGCGTAGAAAAGTTGTGAAGGCGTGTATCCTCGCCTCTGAAACTCAATAAAACTTGATGCTTCACTTGACTAGAAGAGGAAGAGGAAGTGGAAGAAATTGCTTGAGGAAGTTGCTCCCCTTCTTCCGGTTCTTCTTCATGGAAGAAGACTTTGATAACGGTGTCTATGAAGACTTTGATAACGGTGTCTATGAAAACTTTGAGTAGACGAGTGATGAAGTTCAGCCATGTGTCTGTTTGTGGAGGTGAGGAGGAAGAAGACGCCATGAAAGAGTATGGATTGTGTGGCTGAGGCAAACACAGAAAAATATATGTTGAAATTTGGATATGATACATTCCGGTTCTTCTTCATGGAAGAAGACTTTGATATCCTTTCTATTAAATGGGAAGGGGTCAACCATGTGCGTGTGGACCCTTGAAATATTTTCTGCATTTTTTTAAACTTTAATCTCACAACTTCATTACTTTCCTGTTGACTGACATAAAAGTGGAACAATGTGAAATATTGGAAAAATAGTATTATAAGTCACCCAAGTATTAACAATGTGAACTATGATTATGAAGTGTGTTCAAATGATACTAATAACTGAAAATAGCAATGCATATTTCCTACTCTTTTAGCAGCATCTATAACTTAAACCATCCAACATACCTACGTGTTTATTATAGTGATTTATGCAATGCGAAAACATGATTAGACATGAAAGAGCAAAGCTAGGTTGGATATTCAAGATTATAAGGTGATAGATAATAGCCTGCAGCTCCATCATGTTCATTCCACAAGTTGTGACGGAAAAAAAAAGTCTGTAACTCATTGATAAATCTGAGGAAAATATGGGCATGAAGAAGCCCAAAATCACAATGAGTAGAATATTAAAAATATCTTATAATACAATCAGATTATGTCACATTATAATAAAGTATTTGAATATTTAATTCGATGATTAATCTATTTGTAAATTAAAATGATTAATTATGTTATCCAAGAAACAAGCGAGTACAAATCTATGCATGTAGTGGGCTTTCCTTACTTTAATCATCAACATTTATAATACAAGTATCATACCTCAGTGCAGCAAATATAATATAGAAAACAGACGCACCAAGCCAACTCAAGTTTTCATAATTTAGAACAGCCAAAGAAGTAGGTTTTGGTCGATGTTATTACGAAAATCACATCTCACAAATCATAACCGTACAAATTACAATGCCAGCTTTGAGATGGGTCCAATTTGCCATCAGCTCCCCCATTGAATTAATATATTACAATAACATCCTTACATTGGGCATACAAACAAAAGGAAAATAGGAAAATTAACAAACTTCAAAGATCATGACCCTTGGTCTTGATCACTTTGATTTGAAAGGAATGGCTCTGATCACAACCACGTGGTAGAGTGCTGCTAGTGCTGCTCCAATCATTGGACCAACCCAGAATATCCACTGCAACCAGACCAGACAAGATAAGAATAAAATGGCATAATGCCAAAATTAATCCCCATATTTATTAAAATGATCATTTTAATTTTTATAAGTATTATGACCTTCAATGTTTCATAGCAATGTAAAAGGTCTTAACGTTTAACTGTACAATTTCGATCCTTATTATTATTTTTTTGAAACATTTCAGCTCTCAATATTTTTTTAGAGTAAAAATGTTACTAATATTTGATTGAATATTTATTTTGATTCTTTAGAATATTTTGATACTCTATATTTCATTATAGGATATAAATAAAAATCATATTTTAAATTATTAACGTTAACTAACGATTTTTATTGATAGAAAGAATTTTCCCCCCAAAATGTAACATTAGTGATTAAAATACTCTAAAGAAAAACAAGAATCAAGCATTAGGAGATTTTTGGTGAGAACGGTGAAAGAATTGACTTACATGGTCATCCCAGCCCTTGTCCTTGTTGAAGATGATGGCTGCACCGAGACTACGAGCCGGGTTGATGCCGGTTCCGGTGATTGGGATGGTTGCTAAGTGTACCAAGAACACTGCGAACCCAATTGGCAACGGTGCCAGGATCTAGCAAACATAAGTTTAAACTGATCAATCCATAGTTTTTTTTTCATAGTTCAACCATTCATAACATGAAATATGAACTTACGGGGACGTGAGAGTCTCTAGCACTGCGTTTGGCATCAGTGGCCGAGAAGACAGTGTAAACAAGAACAAAGGTGCCAACAATTTCAGCACCAAGGCCATCACCCTTGGTGTATCCATGAGCCACCGAGTTAGCTCCGCCGCCCAAAGTACCGTACCTTGTCTTCCCCATGAAACCTTTAACCACGCCAGCACCACATATGGCTCCCAAGCACTGCATCACCATGTAGAAAATCGCCCTTGTCAACGACAATTTCCTCCCCAGGAACAGCCCGAATGTCACCGCCGGATTGATATGACCACCGGAAATACCAGCGGTGCAGTAAACAAGAGCAAAGATCATACCACCGAAGGCCCAAGCAATCCCTTGGATCCCAACAGTTGAGCACTTGGTCGGTTCCTTAACAACGCCCATAACAGTCAACACCGAGATATACAAGAATAGGAAAGTAGCAACGAACTCGGCTATCCCAGCTCGATAAAAAGACCAGGAGGTCAACTCACTGGGCTCAAACAACGGTGCTGGTGGTGGCTCGGTGTAGTCCTTATCGTCTAGCGACTGAGCCGCCGTCCCAATAGGCTGCCTCTCGGAGAACTTGTTGGCTCCCAATCTAACATCCTCTTCTTTCCCCTCCATTTCTTTTAAAAACAATGAGATCTTTGAGACAAATAGAGATAACTCTGTGCTTTCTGTGAGTTAGAGGGGTGTTTTTATATTTCAAGGATGATGAATATAAATGATTGAATTTAGTTGTTTTGGGATATTAAATATAATGAATTATGGCCGACCAATGGGTTTACTGGGAAAATGACAATGGAATGTTTATCATTTTTGAACGACAATGGTGGGGTGGCAGTGGAGACACCTTAGTTGGCATAATTTTGGCCACAAATTTGTGAGCTGACGATCATCAACCACCGCCCCTGTGCCAGACTGATGGGAAAGTTAATGATTAGTCATATTTTTTTTCAATATCATCAATTTTAAAATTTTATTATCTTTATTATTTTTCTAGATTTATTTTTAATTAAATTTGAACACAAATTTTATTTATAATAAAAAAGAATATATATATATATATATTATGATTGGAAAGAATTATTTAAATTAAAATTAACTAGTGTGATAATAATTATATTTAAATTTAGCAAAAATTTAAAAAAATATATACTCAATTTCATTTAACTTAATTTTTATGAATTCAACCATACTAAAAAATTAAAGTGTAAATCATAGAAACGTACCCATAAACAAAGATGGACTGGGTCGAGAGAGAATAGATAGGGACAATCGCCTTCATTTTTTAAAATTGTCTAATTCTCTAATATTTTAATTTTTTTATTAATAACGTATTTATTTCTTTCTAAAATTTTATAAATTTACTTTTTTTTAATTTTTTTTATAAATTCCTCATCATAAAATTTTAGGCTTGCCAATAAATTCGATTATCTTATGAATGGAGGATCAAGTTTCGTGGCCTTATTGAAAACTCAATGACCATGTTTAGCTCGTGGGGCGGTGAAACATTAAATGAAAATCGAGGGGTAAAGGACGGCAATATAGGGTTTCTTTTTCCTTTCAAGTCCAAAAAAATATAGTTTTCAGGTAGAATAATCTTTTAGGCCCCTTAACTTTATCAGTTTAATTATTTTAGTCCTTATATTTTTTATAACATTTCTTTAATTTAAAAAAAATCAAATTGAAACAAACATAATGAAACAGGAAATTATTATTCCATAAGCTTATCCAAAAACTCTAAAATAATATATTAATGAAATTAACATCATAAAATATAATTTAAAATTTTAAGATTATCGCTATCAAACGATGTAATATTATGTTCATTGTTCAATGCTTGCATTTATTAATATATCATAGTTTTATAATAAAAAGTTAATACTTGTAAAATTTAATATTAAAATCTATTATTGTTTAATTAATCATTTGATATCGTATTTATTAATTAACTAATTCAAATCAGGTTTTACAAAGACTCGGAGTCGATCTTCTCAACACAATTTGTTTTATTTGTAAACGTCACGATTTCAATCATTGACTTTATTTAAAAAAATTAGTGTTTCATCTCACTATATCAATTGATTGTTGGTAATAAAATCTATTATTTAATTCTCAACACTTACTTTTTTTTATTTCTTATTGAAGAAAATAATAAAAAAAAAACTTTGAATCCGTAGGTGTCGGTTGAAATAGTAAAAAATATCAATCTTAACTTTGATAAAAGTCAAGATTAAAGATTTAATTTATCAATAAAACAATTCGAAACCAGAACTCAACATTTTTATATTATACTGATCTTGACAACTATAAATATAAATATTAGGTACAATTGAAAAAAAAAATTAGTTGACCCTATTCCCATATGTAATGAGGTGAGGGAGAGGTAAGGTAGTAGGCTGCTCCCAACGCAAGGTTGAGAGCAGCTTCCGTGGAAGACCTCCGGCAGTCAGAAAAATTAAAAAAAATTGAATAATTTTTTTTGAAAATAAAATAAATATAATGATGGAATAATTGGAAGGCTATTACATTGAATTACCTATAACCTAACCTCATTAGTTAAAATAATTAATGTAATTGGGCATGACATGATTAAGGATAACAAAGAATAATTGCATCTAATGTTGACATATATAATCAAATTCAAAATCTTTAAGCTTTTATCATAGTATATATATGCTGGCAAAACCTTTAGGTTGGAGACATCAATCATTTAATATAGTTTGGAATAGAATTCCATTAACATGTAACTTTGGTTCCACTAAAAAAAATAAAAAAAATAATTTTGATTTATTCAAATTAATTTTAATTTTTATATAAATTTTATGTGTGATACGAGTTTAAATTTACAAAGTTCAAATAAATTAAAAACTAAAAAATTAAACTATTTTTGTTTTAGTCTTTAGTTAATTAATTTGATTGTTTTGCATTCTGATAATTGATTTTTTTTTGTTTCTTCAATATTTTCTTCATATTAAGTTTTTTTACCAAATTTGAATCACGTGTCCCCCTAAACCATTAAGTTAATTAATTTATCATTTCGAAATTTTTTTTCTTTTTCAATTTAGTCCTTCAACTTTGTATGCTTTCTTCATTTCTTCAATTTACATTTTGACCATAATTGGATCACATGTTGTTTTACCACTGTAGAATACCTAAGTAACTTCAATTTTTCTTTTTGTAATTTAATCCCTCAACTTTGTATGTTATTCAATTTGGTTCTTCAATTGAAACTCTTTACAAATTCTTTCTTCTCATCAATTTCTTCACTCCCTTGTACTCTCATCAATACTTTGTCCTCGAAATTTTATCTTTAATAAAATAACATTGTAAATATATTATATAATTTTATATGATATTTGATTTATTAAATATCATTACAAATCTTACTTACACATGTGAAAAATGAATATAAAGAAATATATATATATATATATATATATATATATATATATATATATATATATATATATCTCATATATGGTTAAAAAGAATCGTTTAAGTTGAAGCAAATTGATATCATAATATTATAAATTAATAATTACATTTAAACAGAAACTCTATTAAATATATCTGATTCAATTCGATTCAGATTTCATAAACTAAACTCAATTTGAACAAATTTTAAATAAATTTTTATATGAGTATTAATTTTAATGAAATTTTAATATTTTTTTATTAGAATTAATTAGGTGTTGACATGTGTTATCATTTAATTGATTGAAATAAAATTAATAAAAATAATACACCATTCTTGATTAGAAAAAAAGGACATTAGAAATTTAAAAAAAAAGAACACATCAGAGTAGTTGTTAAATATTTAACAAAGACAAAATTAAGAAATAAATAATGTTGGTGATGATTTTATAAATAAAACTAACTTAATAAGAAAACAGGAACATAATAATAGATTGATGACTGAAGATGTAGTTTACTCGAAAATAAACTGTCCCAACCCGGCCTTTGTCATCCCTGGTACTGCTTCACCGTCCCACGTGCTCAATGCTAAACACGATTGTCAAGGTTTTTAACCCAGCTGAAAAAATGGACTCTCCTCTCACGGAACCCGCTCCAACGTTAATGATAATTAGATGCGAGTAAAATTTGATTTAATTTAAAAAATTAATTCTTTTGATTTATTCGATTTAAATAAAAAATTTAAATATAAATTGAGTTATATTTATAACTCGAATAACTCAAAATTTTTAGTAATTATTATATTAATTTTTAAGTTTAAGTTAATTCTTGGATTTTATATGATATATGTATATCACATATGAAAAAATATAAAGAAATATATATGTATTATATATGGTTATAAGAAAACGTTTCAATTTGAATCAAATAGTATAATAATATTATAAATATTTACAATTAGATTTAAACAAAAACATGAACTCGACTCGACTCAAAGATTATAAACTCGACTCGAATTTTTTTTAAATCAAGTTCAAGTTATAAAACATAACTTGTCAAATGTAATAACTCAAAATCTTTTTGATTCAACTCGATCGAACGCTTACTCTTATTAGACCTGCTCAGTAAATTATTTTTGTTACTGTTAAATATGATTCATAAATATACCGGTAAAGAGAATAGAATATGACCCATATACCCGCTTAAGATCACAATCATACTGTTGATCGAATCTTTTTGATTTGAAAGGAATGGCTCTGATCACAACTACATGGTACAGTGCTGCTCCAATCATCGGACCAACCCAGAAAATCCATTGCAACCAAACCAAAGTGCAACATTAATAAATAATTCAAAATCGTAAAAAACAACAATACTTCCTTTAAATAATAAGGTGGTTTAATAAATTTACATTAATATCATTTTTAGAAAAAATAATGACTTAATTTAATATTATTATAATTCATATTGATAATCCATTTATATAAATAATTTATGTCATTGGACTGACATGTGTAAGGAAAATATATAATAATGGCATCCAATGCAACATATAATCACATTCAGAATCTTTTAAGCTTTTATTATGCTGGTAAAACCTTTAGGTTATGGACTTTATTAGTTCATCTTATTCCGTAAGCATATAATTTATTTAAAATAAATAAATATGCAATTACTACTAAGGGACTTTACACATCTGCCCCTGTTAATAATGACCTATAATTAAAATAGTTCTGTTTTTGATATCTTAGTATGAGTAGGATGCAAGCTAAGTCTATTTTGTAATTAATTAATTGAAAGCATGTATTTAATTCAGGTTAATCTAGTGGTTAAAGTTCTATCATTTCTATAAAAGTTTAATTAAAGAAATCATCTCAAAAATGTATTTTAAAAATATTATGGGTGGTTAAGTGTTCATTGCTCAATGATGATTGCATACCTAAAATCACATGCATGATTTAACACTGTTTAAAATAAGATTAATTATACCGCCCATTGAATGAAGACCATAGTTTATGTCTGTTGGTATGTCCAAATCACATGGCCTCACAAAAATGGTTGTTGAATGAACCGAAGAAAGACTATTTCTATCAAAACTTTTACAAGATAAGAAAAACAGATGCAGGAGAAAGGTGTAATTATCAGTTAACAGAAGTGGAAAATACGTGAATGAGCTTGTTATTAATTTCCATATTCATAAACCATGATATTCTTATTGAACATTAATGGTGTGAACGGTAAAATTATTATTATTTTTTAAATAG